ATCCAAGACGATGAGGTACCTTTTATCGTACAGTGCAACTCGTAGCTTTTCAGCAAGGTCATATTCACTTTCATTTCCTCCCGAGCCAGTAACTTGCTGAAGAATCTCCCGCAACACCTTTGACTTGTTAAAGTTTTGGGAAACAGTGCACTTAGCACGAACATTGAAATGACTTGCAACTAATGTATTGTTATACACTTTATTGGCAAGAGTAGTTTTACCGACTCCTGGCATTCCAACAATGGAAATGACATCAAGCTCGGATTCATGTTCATCAAGGAGCTGGCCAATGATCCAGGCTTCTTCTTCCTCATGACCTACTGTTACCTCAACAAAAGGTGATGAGGTTAACACAATTGACTCATGGGAAGACTTTGCATCAAGGGGTTCATCCCCATTCATATCCTCCAGCTGTAAACCGGTGACTTGTGCCACAATAAGCTTGATCTTATCAGTGACATTCGGAAGTGAGAAGATTAAATGCGAGAGAGGTTTATCTCTGACAAGAATGGAATTAATGACATGCTCTGCCTCATATGCCACATCCAAAGCATGCAACCAACAATCTTTAACTACTCCACTAGTGCCATCCAACGTTTTCCTGACTTTCCCGAAAGATGATGTTAGGAATTCGAGGCTTTGTTTCACCATCCCAATTTCTTTCTTTATGAGAGAAACTGAATAAGCATTGGAAATGAGCAAATCCTTTAAATGTCTGAGTAGAAGATTCATGAAGAGGAAACCATCATCCATAGGAAAATGAAGTTGAGATGACTCGGGAGCTTTTAAAAAAATGTGTCTGATATCTCCCTTCATTTGTTCAATTTCTTGAAAAAAGTCTGGAGCTGAAAAGTTCGCTTCATTGATATTATTCTCAGATATCTCCTCCAACTGCTTGCTCACCAGAACAGATATTGTTCTTGTAAGCACTCCAGCATGTGCCAACATATCGTTCAATTTTTTATGATGGATAAACCGTTTTGGTATATCAGTGAGAAAGATCAATAGGAACTCCATCATGACATTAATGCTTTGAGTTGGAGCGTAATTTACATCTACCGCAACTTCCATGTGTGGTTGGAGATGAATGAGATAATTTTGAAGAATCCTTGGAGATGCTTTTAGGATTTGCTTAACAAATCCTTCTTGTTCTTTTGACCTTGATTCTTTGATGAGGTTAGAAGTAGAAATGTGGAGAACCTCCAGCTCAAGAGGGATTATGTCGATGAGTAGAGAAGTGATCTTGGAAGAGCATTCAGAGATGGCATACTCATATCTATAGCTTTTGTACCTTCCAGTCAAAAGATCAGAACAGAATTGTGTTACTCTATCAACTGCCACTTCATACCGAGTATGGAGAAATTCTGTTTTTGTTGTTTTGTTGCATTCCAACTGATAGAAATCTCTGAGATGTGTGCATACTTGCCGAAGAATGTTGTATTCACTCATGAGGGGTTGAAGCAAATCATAACAATACTTTGGTAGATCATGGAGATTTCTGATGAGGTATTCAAACTTCTTCATCTCTATCGCCGTGGCTACATATTCATTCTTCAAACTAAAATAATTTCTTATCTCTTCTAGCGGCAGAGGGGCAAGACATTCCATGTGGTATTTCTTTAGGATTAAATCATCTTCACAGAAAAGGAACTCAGCAAGTAGATCGAATTTCTTTATATGAATATACATCCTGTAATAAAAGTCATCCAAATTCGTCGAATTCCCTAACAGGGCAATTGCTCTTAGGAATCTCAGTTCCATTCTTAGCTTTCGAATCACATCCAATTTTGAAGCAATGAATTTCTTCTTTTTTTGCTTCGTCCGAATCAAGAAATCATCAATAAGATTCGTGATTCTTGTTTTATGTTCCTCAAATAGTAGCTGCTAAATCAAAAACATATTCATCAGCAAAATTTTGGCTGCAACACTTAAAAATTACAGTGCTGATAGACAATAGACGTACCAATGGTTTCCCTCCTTCTTCCATTTAATCTCTAACCTCGAACCAGCCTTCAATATCTACAAAATTTGATTTTTCAAACTAATCACATGCACATGTATCAATAAAATTCACTCAACTTTAGGAATTGAAGTTTGTTTTGTATCAAAAAAATAACTCAACTTAAATTTTTATATCAATAAAATTCACTCAACTTTAGGAATTGATCTAGCAAAGTCGTTGAAGTTTGTTTTGTATAAAAAAAATCACTCAACTTAGACATTTGTGTTAGTTAAATCACTAAATAAAATTTATCATTAATTCTTTTTGTTTCATATAAAATAGACCCTACAAATAAATAAAATTAACAAAACTAGTTTAATTTTTTTATGAGGAACTTCTTTAGTGAAACAAATACTCTTTATCATAATATACTATGATAGGTAAACATGAATATGTATAGGCATAATACACATATTGGACCCTAAACTTGACTTCAAATTTTAACTTTAACGTCCAACTTTCATAATGTACAAACAAAAACTTTAACTATCCAACTTTTAAATAAATAAACACATGGGTCCTACATGGCACAATACACGTAAGACACCACGTAGGACAAAAAAGGACATGTAGGACATATGTGTCTATTTGTTCAACTTTATACAAGTTTGAGTGTCTATTTGTGCACATCCAAAGTTAAAGGGCAAAAATGTGATTTGAAACCAAGTTAAAAGGGTATATTTATGAATTATGCCATACGTACATTTTGAAGAGTGACAAAGATTGCATCATGGAACAAGTTTAGCAGACGTGATCTATGTTTAAGAAGATCATTGGTAAGAAGTCATTTGCCAAGAAACGGGGAAGCAAGGAAAGCAAGGTTGTTGATGATAATGTTAGTACGTTCAATGAAATGCCATACACTGTAATGAAATACAAAACTGTGTAGCTACAAAGACTCGAATAGTTTGACATCATTCAAAAAGGGGGAATTTGTTGGACGTTAGAAGTGCTGATTATTCTGAAGATCCCTAAGGAAAATTGCTGGAAGGATTTTTCTATCCAAGTCAAGGCAACGTGCGACAATGCGAAATCTCAGTAGTAAAAGGTTGTTTGTCAAGTTCAAGTAGGAGAATAAATACTACAGAGATGAGGATTTCTTTCCAGTGAAAAGTTTCAGCGGTAACAAGTTGAAGAAGAACGTATAAGCGGTTGCGGCTGAACGTGTTTATTTCGATGAGTTTCAAAGATGCATAATGGAGCAAATTTGATTCAAACTTACTGGAAGGAAGATTCCAAACTTACTGAAAGAAGGATTCCAAACTTACGTAGAGCTTGATAATGTTGGGTTATGGGTCTTTTTTCCCTTCCTATGTGGATAAATAAAAGTCCAATTTGGACCAACCCATTTTTGTCCATAAGCCCATTCTTATGAGGCAAATATAAGCCTATTTTAGGTCTTATTTTCAGATTTTTTTTAGAGAGAGTTTTTCAGCAGCCAAAAGAGAGAAAAAAGAGAGAAATTCGCAGTCAAAAATTCAGCCATAACAACCAACTTCAAATTGCGATTCCTGC